GTAAATAAATTAATGCTTTGCAATCTGCTCTTTGGTTTTAATCAACCATTTTATGATAAAATTTGCAAAATTTTGAATTAAGTGGCCCCTGGGTTAGTATTTTCTTTGGGGTGAGGTACACAACTGGGTACAAAGTGGAAGTGCATTTACTCCTTGTTACTCTGATCTACCTCTTAGTATTAAGTAAATAGAGTAAGCATGCTAAGTTAATAATTATGATAAGCAATGGCGCTTCATTCAAAATTGTGAATTGTGAATTTCATGGCCTCTGGTTTAAAACACCAACCAAATTTAATTGTTATACCCCCCGCAAACGAAGTTTGGGAGGGTATATAGGAATCACCTTGTCCGTCTGTCTGTCCGTCTGTCTGTCTAGCTGTCTGTGCAATCGTGTCCGGTCCATATCTTTCTTACAGAGGGACATTAGAATCTACTACTCCACACTAAGATTGCTCATGACCCAAGGGTGTGTCATGACCTTGACCCAAGGTCATTTGGGAAACTTCAAGGTCACTGGAAGAAAAATTTCATAATTTCTGTCCGGTCCATATCTTTCTTATGAATAAACTTGGTAGGTTCTCATTTCACAAAAACATTGCCCATGACCCAAGGGTGTGTCATGATCTTGACCCAAGGTCATTTGGGGAAGTTCAAGGTCACTGGAAGAAAAATTTCATAATTCGTGTCCTATCCATATCTTTCTTATGGATAAACTTGGTAGGTTCTCATTTCACACAAGATTGCTCATGATCTAAGGGTGTGTCATGACCTTGACTCAAGGTCATTTGGGGAAGTTCAAGGTCACTGGAAGAAAAATTTCATAATTCGTGTCCGGTCCATATCTTTCTTATGGATGAACTTGGTAGGTTCTCATGTCACACAGAGATTGCCCATGACCCAAGGGTGTGTTATGACCTTGACCCAAGGTCATTTGAGGAACTTCCAGGTCACTGGAAGAAAAATTTCATAATTTGTGTCCGGTCCATATCTTTCTTATTGATAAAGTTGGTAGGCTCTCATTTCACATAGAGATTGCCCATGACCCAAGGGTGTGTCATGACCTTGACCCAAGGTCATTTGGGGAAGTTCAAGGTCACTGGGAGAAAAATTTCATAATTTGTGTCCGGTCCATACCTTCTTATGGATAAAGTTGGTAGGTTCTCATGTCACACAGAGATTGCCCATGACCCAAGGGTGTGTCATGACCTTGACCCAAGGTCATTTGGGGAACTTCCAGGTCACTGGCAGAAAAATTTCATAATTTGTGTCCGGTCCATATCTTTCTTATTGATAAACTCATTTCACATAGAGATTGCCCATGACCCAAGGGTGTGTCATGACCTTGACCCAAGGTCATTTGGGGAACTTCAAGGTCACTGGAAGGGGCCTCTTGTTGACAGAGTTATGCCCCTAAATGGACTTGGACAAATTCCTTTTTGTTAGTTAATGAGTTAATTTTTTGATAGATGCCTAAGAGAAAGTCACTCACTGGCAGTAAAGAGCGCAAGAGGGATGCTATGAGGAAGAGGCAAAAGAGACTTCAGTCCTGCCCTGATCCTCCATTAGAAGAAACACTGACAGTGGATGCAGCTGCTCCTGGTTCAGAGTGTGGCTCTATAGGGTTGCCACCTACTTCGCTAAAACCCTTGGCCAGGGTGCAGGCCTCTCCTAGTGAGAAAATGCACTCAGCCCCGAGGTTGTCACCTCCTCGGGGAAGTCGTCTGATTGTCCCAAAGGACAAGGTAGCATCCCCTGACTCCCCAGCGTGGGTTTGTACTCCACCGAGAGTACCTGAATCGGACATTTGGATGATGTCTGGTTCAGCAGGTCAGGCGCAGCTGATACCTCCCAAGGGGGAAGAGGTCAGCAGGGCTTTAAAAAAAGATGTAAGGCACAGAGAGGAAAACAAAGGAAATATAGAGGAAAACAAAGGCAATATAGAGGAAAACAAAGGCAATATAGAGGAAACTAAGAAAAAAAAAAGGGAATCAAAGAAATTTGAAAAGATGTCAGAGAAATTTGAAAAGAAATCAGAGGAATTTGAAAAGAAATCAGAGGAATTTGAAAAGAAATCAGAAATATGTGATAGACAATCTAAGAAATCTGTTCAGGAATATAGACAAGATGTTAGAACAAGTGAAGGTAAATGTTCAAGAAATCAGAATTTGTCTGTTCAAGGTTCATTTCATCAAGGAGATCCAATGTTTGGTGAAAATGCTGGAACTCAGTGTGTAGCTAACTCTTTAACAGCACTGGCATATCATCAACTGAAGAATTGTGAACAATGGCAATCAGCAGATATGAACAAAATATTGGCAACAGGAGATGAGTTGTATTCATATCTACAGTGTAGTTCTACAATTGCAAGCAGATACCTTTTAGTAAGTGAGTTGCCTCAGTTTTTCGAATGCTTTGGTAGACTGTATGAGTTTAAAGCAAATGAGTCTTTACCAAGTCTGATAAACTTAGCAAATGTAGTACTGGATTATGCTGACTTCAATGCTCACGAATTGTTAGAGGCACTTCAAATTGCCCTTGATGATAGTGATGGGTGTTTTGTTTGTTTTGGCGGAAATACATTTTTGATTGGGAAATCTCACAATAATTTTTTCACATTTGATTCCCACTCAAGGTCTTCTGCAGGATTTCAAAGTGTAAACGGTAGAAGTACACGAGTTTTGTACGAATCCGTTCAAGATTTATGCAATCATATTTTGTCTTTAGCTAAGTCAATGGGTTATACTGAAGCAATTGAGTGTGAAATAACTGGAGTGCAATGTTCAGCTAGACAGCTTTCATTGGAAAAGGAGGAAGGCATCAATAAAGAATCACAATTCAGTGATGCAGAGAAAGAAGTGAACGATTTTGCCAACTTTGAATGTACTAGTAGTTCTAGTGTACAAAATGATGATGAGGTAGAATTTGTTGGGAGTGAGAACCATCAGATAAGATTTTTACCACTTTCTAGTGATCAAAAGAAAACACACTGTGAAATCTTGGGAATACCATTTTCAGTGAATGAGTGTGAAAATCAACATCAGTATGGACAGGAAATTACAGTACCAATGAGCACTGTACTAGTTGAGCCAGATGGAAATTGTTTCTTTCGTGCAATCTCATTCTGTTTGACGGGAAAGCAAGACTACCATCAGACAATACGTTTAGCAATATGCAATCACATCTTGGAAAATGGTTTACTTTTCACACCATTCTTAAGGCCAGGTGTACATTCTGTAGAAAACCACATTTCCTTGTCAGGCATGCTCAGGGATGGAATATGGGCAACTGAAGTAGAGATTCTAGCACTATCTCATTTACTGAGAACTGAAATTCATACATACTCACAGAACAGATGGGTTACTTATTCTGGACAAATGGTGAATTCAGAAGAAATCATGGTCTCACTCGGGGGCATTTATTTAGATCATGTAAATCAGAGTCATTATAATGTTGTGACATCTGTTACTTCAGTGACCTCATTACAGAATTTATTGAGCTTCACAGAAAATGAGAGGAAAATTACAGATAGAAACCAGAAGAGGAAACGGCAAGAATCAGTTTCCTTTGAGAATGAAAGATACAAACTTCAGATGTCTGATGAAAGTGCTAAAGAAAGAAAATTGTGTAGGATGAACATGAAGTACAAAACGGACCCAGAATTCAAAACAAAATGCATTGCAGATGCTAAGAAAAGATACAAAAATAATGAACAATATCGTGAAAATTTAAAACAAATCAGTGTTAAAAGATATAAAACAAACAAGCTTCACAAAGAGGAGGTCAAAGAAAGAAGCAGACAGAAGTACAAAACAAACCTGTCACATAGAGAAGAAGTTAAACAAAGAAGCAGACAGAAATATGAAACAAACCAGACCCACAAAGAAGAAGTCAATCAAAGAGGCAGACAGAAATATAAGACAAACCAGACCCACAAAGAGGAAGTCAAACAAAGGAGCAGACAGAAGTATGAAACAAACCAGACACACAAAGAGGAAGTCAAACAAAGGAGCAGACAGAAGTATGAAACAAACCAGACACACAAAGAGGAAGTCAAACAAAGGAGCAGACAGAAATATAAAACAAACCAGGCCCACAAAGAGGAAGTCAAACAAAGAGGCAGACAGAAATATAAAACAAATCAGACCTACAAAGAGGAAAGCAAACAAAGAAGCAGACAGAAGTATAAAACAAACAAACAGCATCAAAAGAAGGTTATAGCTGCTAGTAAGGCCAGATATCATTCTAGTGCAGAAACAAAGATAAAGAGTAAGAAATCAGTACAAAAACAAAGAAAAGCACTGCATGAAATGCTCAAAGACATTGATGAAGTAGTGAAATCATTTAAAGATTGTGTTAGACATGGACCAGAATATGTATGTTGCTGCTGCCATCGCCTTTTGTTTGAAAACCAAGTACAAGGATGCTCGCTTGATATGTATGAAAATAATATAAAGGCTGCTCATGTTGCAGATTTATGCATTGATAAGAAGTATGTTCATAGTTGTACATCTGTATGTGCTCATAATTGTCCCAAATCAAGAACATGGATTTGTTTCACGTGCCATAGGAAAATTCTTACTGGAAATGTTCCTGCTGAAGCAGCTTTCAACAAATTGTGCTTGGAAGATATTCCACCAGAGCTCAATAGCTTGAATTCTTTAGAACAACACCTTATTGCTCTTCATATACCTTTCATGAAAGTAACAATGCTTCCAAAAGGTGGCCAACAAAACATACATGGACCTGTCGTTTGTGTGCCATCGAACATAAAGAAAACAAGCAGTTTACCTCTAAATGGAAATGAAAATCTCTTGTTACGAGTTAAACTAAAACGAAAGTTGTCCTACAAGGGATATTATGAATACCAGTTCGTAAACCCAAATCATGTTAAAACGGCTCTCAACTACCTGAAAGAAAACAATCAGTGGTATCATGATGTTGAAATCAACACAACATGGGAAAATGATAATGACCAAAATACCTTATTCAATCAGCCAGAATCTTTTGACAGTGAAGAAATAAGTGAAGAACAGAACAATGCCATGCAAGAAGTTGCCACAGATACTTGTTTACAGCCTGTAGATATTGCGCAAGAAGTTCTAGATCACTACTTTGATGATGTTTATAATCTTGCTCCGGGTGAAGGACAGAATCCAGTAAGAATGTTGCAAGAGGAGGGCAATGAAGCAAAGACATTTCCTTATTTATTTCCAACAGGAAAATATTCTTGGAACGAAAGTCGAGATGTAAGGATAACCCTTTCTCGATATTTTAACAACAGGCTGATGAATGCAGATAACAGATTCGCGAAGGATACAAATTACATTTTCTTTTGTCAATACCTATCTGAATTGAACCAGGTTATTGAGAAAACACAAATTTCAATTCGCAAATCTGTATCGAAACTTGATGGAGGACCAGTCACAACAGAAATGTTGCAGAATCCTGCTGTACTTGCAAAGCTGCTCAGGAGTGATGAGGCTATCCGATTTATGCAACCAATAAGAGGAACACCTGCATATTGGTCATGTGCACAAAAAGATCTTTTTGCTATGCTTCGACAACTTGGAATTCCTACATGGTTCTGTTCTTTCTCTGCAGCAGAATACAGGTGGAATGAAATACTGGGTACAATTATGCTACATATGGATGACAATAGAAATCCCTCTGATCTAGATTGGTCTGAGAAAAGTGAAATTCTGAGAAGCAACCCTGTAACTGTTGCAAGAATGTTTGAACATAGGTTCCATGTTTTCCAAAATAATGTAATAATGTCACCAGCAAAACCCATAGGGAATATTGTAGATTACTTCGTAAGGGTTGAGTTTCAGCAGAGGGGTTCTCCTCATATGCACTGCTTATATTGGGTTGAGAATGCTCCAAAATTAGATGAAGATAGTGAGGAGACTGTTTGTGACTTCATTGATAGGCATGTTACATGTGCTCTACCACCAGAAGACACTGACCAAGAACTTAGACAAATTGTTTTGGATGTACAACAGCACAGCAAAGGACACTCAAAATCATGTAGGAAAAAAGGAACAGAATGTAGGTTCAATTTTCCAAGGCCGCCCACAGAAAGCACATTCATTTCAAGACAGTTGGAACAAAATATGGATGATTCCAGCAATGCGTTAGGTAGTGCGCAGGCAAAGGAGATTCTGTTAAAGGTCTGGAATGAAGTAATGGATGATGCTAATGCATGTAAAACAACAGAGGAGATATTCAACAATATAAACCTTTCACAGGATTTATATGAAAGAGCACACAAAGTATTGACCTCTAAAACAACAACAATTTTGAAACGAAATCCAACAGAAATGTGGACAAATCAATACAATCCATGCTTGCTCAAAAGCTGGGATGCCAACATGGACATTCAGTATGTATTGGACCCTTTCAGCTGCATAGTATATATCATATCATATATTTCAAAGTCTGAAAGGGAAATGGGAATGCTACTGAAGCAAACACAAATAGAAGCAGCAGAGGGAAATTTGAGTGCACATGATACCATCAAGAGGGTAGGATCAGCTTATCTAAATCACAGAGAGGTCAGTGCACAAGAAGCAGTATACAGGGTGTGCAATCTTAGGATGAAAGAGAGTTCAAGAAAAGTCATTTTCATTCCTGTGGGGGAAAATCCAACTCGTCTGAGTAAGCCTCTTGCACAAATAAAAAAGAACAAGCAAGTTGAGATTGGTGAACATGATTTGATTGCAGATGACAATGATGATGAAGAAGAAAATAGTATGTGGATGACAAATATTGTGGAAAGGTATGAAAACCGTCCTGAGTTAAATCTTTTCCATAAAATGTGTCTTGCTGAATTCTGTTCAGAGTACAGAGTGCTCAGTAAATCTCAGATTCCTAAGAGCAAAAAAGAAGGTGTGTATGAATTGAGAAATGGAAAGGGTTTCATTCAAAAGAGAAGTAGAGGCAAACCTGCTGTTATACGATATCCAAGATTCCATCGAGATAACGCACCTGAGAAATATTATCAGTGTCTGCTACAACTTTTCCTTCCGCATTGGAATCTGAATCAATTGAAACCAGCTGGTTTTGATTTGTACCAGACATTTTACGAGAATGGACACGTAAAAGTGAAACCAAACTCAGACTTAGAAAGAGTCAAAAACATAGTGGATAGTAACCATGCTTACTTCTCAAGAAATGAGGATGATATTGAAAATGCTCAGGATGCATTTGAAATGTTTGGTGAACCAGAGGACGCTTGGGCCAGTTTATGTCCAGAATCTGAATTAAGTCGAAGAGAATGTTTGAATGAAAAATTAAGAACAAATGATCAGGAGAATACAGAATCAGAGGTCACACACGAAATTGAGAGTAGTAATTCTGAAGATGCCATTTTTCATTTAAGGGAAACTCAAACCACCAGAAAAGAGATGCTTCCTTTACTGTGTAGTTTAAATGACAAACAGAAGCTGATTTTTTATTCTGTTCATGAGTGGTGTGTCAAGAAAATGTCTGGAGAGCATGTAAAACCTATGCACATTTTCATAACTGGAGGAGCAGGGACAGGAAAAAGCCATCTCATTAAGACAATACACTACGAAGCATCTCGTCTCTTTGAAAAAAAGCTGCCTTCCCCAAATTCATTATCTGTGGTTCTCGCAGCTTTTACAGGAACAGCAGCATTCAATATTGGAGGAAATACCATTCATCATGTGTTTTCTTTAACCAAAGCTTTACCACTTCCTTATCAACCCTTGAAGGAACAAAGTTTGAGTGGGATAAGAACAAGATTAGAACATTTGCAGATTTTGGTCATAGATGAGGTTTCCATGGTCTACAAAAGATTGTTGTATTACATTCATGAACGACTTGTCCAAATCAAAAAATGTAAAGAACCATTTGGTGGCGTATCTGTGATAGCAGTTGGAGATTTTTATCAGCTTCCACCTGTTAAACAACGAAAAGATGAGAGATTGTATAAAGAAAATGGTTCATATCCAATTGACTACTGGCTAGATCTTTTTAAAGTTGTAGAGTTGGACGAAATAATGCGACAACGTGAAGATAAAGCATTTGCAACTGTTCTGAATTCACTGCGTGTTCGTACATGTGAAGAAGCCATATCAGATGAAGCATTGAAGACACTGCAAGAGTGCATTAGAGATGGACCAGATGATGTTCTTCATGTTTATTCAACAAACCAAGAGGCAAATGAATACAATCTTAAAATGTTGCATGGCAGTTGTGAAGAATTAATAGAAGTGCATGCTGATGATTATCAGAAAGACAAGACAACAGGGAAATTGACTTTACGTGACAAACCTTTGGTTAGTACCCGAGTTGATGGCCTCTCTGCTTCGTTACTTTTGGCTGTGAATGCAAGAGTAATGTTAACTCGAAATGTAAGTGTTGAGGATGGACTAGTGAATGGTGCAATGGGATATATTTCAAACTTTGTGTTTAAGAAAAAACAACCTGCACATGCAGTAGAAGTTGTTGAAGTCATTTTTGATAGTTCAAGCATTGGTAAGATACAAGGGAAGACAACACCCAAAGGAAATATTGTCCCAATTAAAAGAGTGGAGGAAGAGCTAAATGAGAAGAATGTAAAGAGTATCGTCAGACATCAATTTCCACTGAAACTGTCATGGGCATGTACAGCACATAAAGTTCAAGGCATGACTGCCAAGAGTGTTGTTGTGAATTTAGATCGGACTTTCTCTCCTGGTCAAGCATATGTAGCTATTAGCCGAGTTACTTCAAAGGATGGTCTATTCATTGAGACCAATGATGAAAGTGTTCTGCAGAAAAAAATTTATGCCGATTTAGACGTGAAATTAGCACTTAATTCTATGGAGAAATACATGTTAGATGAAGACAGGACATGCAATGTAGCAGAGTTTGGAAATTACAAAACAATTTTTTTGTTTAATATACAAAGTTTGAGAGGGCACTTTCAGGAGATGACTTGTGACAAGAGATTACTAAAAGCTGATTTTGTATGTTTAACAGAAACATGGTTAAAAGAACATGAGAACATTCAAGATATTGAAATTTCAGGGTTTGACTTTCACCATGTTACACGAAACCAGTGTTATGATGATAGAGAAGATGTGACGACAAGGCTAAAAACAGCTAAAGGTGGTGGGGTTGGCGTGTACAAAAAGAACACAAACGAGAAAATCTTGATCAATGCTTTGGAATGCAAGAATATAGAGGGATTAACTGTAGAAATACATGAGGAGGATATTGCAATCATTGTACTCTACCGGCCGAGTGTACTGCCTGTAAACAATTTTCTTGACACCTTGCAAAAAGTTGTCAATTTTTACAAGAAGCGCTATAACAACTTGATAATTATGGGTGACATGAATGAAGATGCTAAAGAGAAAGGACCCATACAGACCTTCCTAGAGTCATTGGGATTTATGCAGATGGTACAGTTTTACACAACAGAGGGTGGAACAATATTAGATCATGTATATGTAACTGAGTCTCTGAAAGCCTGTGTGCACAAAAAGTCATTGTATTTCAGTTATCATGAAGCTATTGAAATTCATGTGAGAACTCAATAAAAACATGCTCAGACTGATTTTGAGTTCAAATCATTTTTAACAGATATTTTCTGAAATCTTGCCTTAAGAAAAAGGGATTTAGTCAGTATATTATCAGAAGTAATCTTTTTGTCAAAGCAATTGCTCTTCTAAATAAGTTTTTTTTTTTTAATTTAATGAATAAAATATTACCTTTTCAATGGTTTACAAATCATGTGAGTGTGACGTACTTCAGATGCCATCATTATTAATTGTTTAAATTAATCAGTTACTAAAAGTGAATTTTTTTTTTTAGAAAAGCATAGACATTTAAATTATGTGATAACGAGTATTAATTGTGTTAAAATAATGGATAGTAGTTGATTATATTTGTTGTTTTTTTTTTGTGTGTCTAGATATCACCGTTGAGATCCAAGTTAGATTCCACTGAGATCTAAGATTCCACATCTACATTCAATGACTATGCATGACTTCCTAAACTGTAGCAGACTACATATATTGAAGATAAAAAATCTACAATTTGAAGGTAACATAAAGTTTCAAATAATGCATTTACATTTCTAATGTGGTATTTTTATGAATTTTTTTGTGTGGAAATTGAAAGGAAAAAGTGTATGATAAGAATGATTAAGTTTAAACACAATATTCTACATTAATTAGAATCTTCCAGTTAATAAATATGAATTAACTTCTTGTTGAATGCATTTCTCATCCTATGAAAAAAAAAATATCAGTTTATACTTGTCTCACTTTCTTTAAATGAAATTTTTCAAAATTTTTATCTCCTTCGACATACTTTACTACATTACTTGAAATGTTTGAAAATTGTAAGCTTTTTGGGGGAAAAGTTGTAAATTTTGCAGAAAAATTAATGTCCACATGCTTTTGTTGGTAAATAACAGGAGAGAGAGCCACTTGATGGATCAAAAGAATATTTTCATTAATTGTTTACAGAATGTCTTTCTAATCTGAATTAAATCTTCTACACAAAGTATACATGTTTTGTAACCTTAAAATAATAATTATAAAGAAAGCAATAATATTAGAACTTTAATCAGATTCTATTTCCTCTGTATAAATTACAAAGTATCTTTGCTTTGTTTATGATTGAAATTTTGAAAATGAAATTTAGATGTAGATGTAGTAATCCAGGAAAGTTACTGGTAGTTGAAATTTCAAAAATATAATAATGATCAATTCTTTTAAAGGAAATAGGTACAGTATATGGTCATAAATGCATTTTACTCTATATGTTTTCTTCAAAAACCAATTTTTATTAAAACCTATTTTGAGGTAAATTTTAGCTCTATTTCCTTGGATTTTTTCACTGAATTATGCAGAATTGTTTAAATTTCTTTGTCTTAAAATGCATTACAAAATGAAACACAACTCATTGAGAATAAATCATGAAATTGACAAGACAAACGTTTCTACCCTCAAATTACTATGGTTTCCTATGGAATAAATCTTAAAATTTTTATTTTACACTTGACCTGTGATAACACTGTGATAACCTATAGATAAAATTATTTTGAAATAAAGTGAATAAACTGCAAAGAAGTTTGCATTTTATGGTGTTTTAGTCATAAAAATTATAAACATGTACAAATAAGACTGCTATGATATTTTTTAAAATTATATTTTTCAATGAAATATTTAGTAGAACAAGCAAATTCAAAGTATTGTGGTCCCCAGATTTTGGTGTCTGTCGTTATTTATAGCATATTGTTTAAAATGATTTATCTATCATTTTTCATTCAAAGGTAATCAAATTTGATTTTTAGCTCTACTGGTCAGAGATCAAAAGAGCTTGTGTGATAGTAAGGTGTCGGTCATCCATCCGTCTGTCTGTCTGTAAACAATTTTTCAAAATGCTACCATCCTAGAGTTTTGGTCTGATTTCAGTATAACGAATGTGGCACACAAGTAGACTACACTAAGATACATAATTTGGTGCATCAGTTTTGATTTCAATTAATAGTGTTGCCATGGTAACTTAAAATAGAAATTCCTATGAAATTCCTTCTAAACACTACTCCTCCTACAGTTTTGGTCTGATTTCAATATAACTTGGCATACAAGTAGATCACACTGAGATACATAAATTAGTGCATCGGTTTTTAATGTGCGGTGTTGTCAGGATTACAAAAAATGGAAATTTCTGTGAAATTTCTTTAAAATGCTACTCCTACAGTTTTAGTCTGATGTCAATGGCTTCTCTCTTCCTTTGTTTCAGTACAAACCAGTAGAGCTACAGTATCAACAGAGACTTCTGGTCTTTAAAATTAGGTTAGTCATGAAGGTCAAGGGTAAAATTTATAGCTTGCATGGAAATATCTTCTCACATATCAAATATGAAAGCCTGATCTCTTCTCAATCAAAAGTTATAAGGAAAAAAATAAGATTTCTGAAAAAAAAGGTCAAACATCAGCATTCAAGGTCATGGGGTCAAAGTTACAAAAGTTCGGTGATTTTTCTCAAAACGTAACTCAATGCGATCAGGGAATAAAGATGAGGTTGAAGATTGTCTTTTCAATGTAACAGATTTAAACTTCCAAGGACTCGCATTCATTGTAATCTGTTTACTGTTATAGATAATCAATGACAAAATTAAGTTGTTTGGGTTTGTTCTTTTATTATTTTAGATAACTTTGGACTTATAAAATGACAGCTTCATGATTTCGCTTATTTTGAATTACAGATATATTGAAAAAATTTGCACGATCCCCTGAATTTCAATATATCCGGAGTAGGCTGTATGACCAAGGTTAAAATTTTTGTAACAGACTGACAGAAAATTTTGATGCCATCAGCTGTGTAGAATTATATTGATTTGTTAATTATAAAATTCTCAGGGACAGATCTTAAGAGCCTGTTGTACACAAGACGGGTATAATTTTCACTTATTAAAAAAAATCCCTGTTATAATATTGTTTGTATAAAAATTTAGTAAAAATTATGAAAATTTTAAAAGTGATTACAACATAAAACAGGCAGAAACTTGGTTTGTTGTCAGTAAGCAAATGATCAATGATGACACATCCAAAAGAGTGTAACAGAATGTTAAAGAGAGATATCTTCAGGTTAAAAAGATCTGGGAATAAATGTGCTTGTAGATGCAACTTAATGCATGAACAACTTAGATGACAGTGAATACCGTGTTTAAAGTTTATGTGCAGATGTAATATATAAAGGAATTTACTTTCACATTAAGAAAAACTAAGTCTAAGGCCCTTTTTAATATTTTAGTTATAATGTGCATAAAAATTTTCATTTATGTCTCCGCTTCCAAGGGGAGACATTGTTTTGTTGATTTTCTTCCCAGAAACATTCTGGGGTAGTGTAGATTTTACATTTTCAAATCATGACCCCTGGGGGTATGGTGGGGTTAGTAAGTATTACAAAGGGAAAATTGGTAAAGAATAGCATGGTTTAAGTTAAATATTGTAAAAGGTGAGTGATGTGGCCCATTGGTGTCTTGTTTATGTTTTATCTTTCTTAAAAAAAGGAAAATGGGGGAGGGGGGCTAAGCCCCCTCCTAGTTCTGATGCATTTTTATGCATGAATTATAATTGCCCTATGATTTCTTAAATGGTTTTTAATTGTTTGTAAAAAATCCAAATGCTAATATTTTTCATCTTTTATCTTTCAACAATGCTTGGAAAGGTACTTCATTTTTTGTAAGTAAATATATTTAAGCAGTAATACTTCAATTACAACATCTAAGAAAAGATGTATATTGTTTTATTATTTAGGAAAATATAGTTTGTCCCTAAGATAAAAGGATAAAAATACAGATGGGATAAAAGGTATATTTTATAATGTATGAAACAAAAGCAAACCCACTATACCCCAAACATTTGTGGTTTTAGTTGTGATATTCTGGCATCTTTATTTTCAGAACCATTCTTCAAGAAAAGAAACAACAGCTACTGATGTTGAACAACTCACTTGAACCATCTTTATCTCTTCCATTTTTCTTCAGAGGGAAATGAATGAATATCATTGAATGAAAGAATTTCACTTTTAAAAAGAGATATGATTTTCTTTAAAAGGCAGATGTCAAGTTCACCTTTCATTTTTGGAATGTTTGATGGTGCAAATGAAACATTGACATGAGAAGCTGAACCCTTCTTATGTCCCTATCAGAAAAAGGGGTGGCATATTTACCATTTTATGGTACCCCTTTCTGTTAGTCATTCTGTTTTTAAGTGTTGTAGTAATAAATTATACAACATTAAAATGTATTTATTTTTTTCATTAAAAATATGTAGTAAATATTTGGACTTTCATATTGTACACAATGCCAGTAAAGTTTTCATGATTAGTTTTTGATATTAATATTGCTATAATGCGAATTAAAGTCTTAGAAACAAAGTAGGGTTATATAATTAATGAATCGACCTAGTCTCAGAATTATTTTGTGCTATGATTGTAGACAATTAAACATGTAAACAAATATACGGTAATTACCGTTATATATGGAAAAAAAAAATGATTTTTCATGACTAACTCTAAATTAAAGAAGGTTGTTTTCAAATCACAGCATTAAATTTCATACAAACTAAAACATATAAATTAATAATCATTGTTGAAGTTAGTCATTGATACAGGTGAAGAAAAAGAGGCAAAAAAATTTTATTGCTCTATGATCATGCTTATATACATGTACTAGCATACATGTATGGTTTGGTTTTATTTTTGGCTGTCTATAGACTTGGTAAGAAGAATTATTTTGGAATGTTGAAAAATTAGTTTATACACAGGTTGTTTATAGATATAGGAAAATTTTTGAGTTTTATTTCATATATTTTTTTAAGTTTTAATATGCACCCGGATTGATAGATCTGGGATGTATATTGTTTTTGTCCTGTTTGTCTGCAAACTTTAACCTTAGCGAAAACTTTTGAACCATAAAAGATAGAGGCCTCATATTTGGTATGCATACTCCACTAATTCAGTTCTTTCCAATGACACCCAGGGAAATGGCCTTGTGACCTATATGCTAAAAATAGCTTTTA